AACAACAGAAAAAAAAAATCACACAGCAGGAAGTATAAGTCTTGTAGCCTCTGTGGTGGCCTAACCCCAACAGCAGCAGCCGGATGCTCTCAAAAGCCTCACACAAAGAACCCAGGACTTGGGCTTAGCAGCGATTCCCTGGCTGCTGCCCACCACAGTGGAGTAAGGGACTGTCCGTCAGCCTCACAGCACCCGTGGGTGCTCTGTTAGTGACTCTGAGACAGAAACCCACGTTTCCCCTGTGCTCGCTGACTGCCTAGAATGCTTCCCCAAGAAAGGAGACAGGCAGCTAGGGTCACAGTGCATCCATTTATTTCCTTTCCTCCTATGTCTTCATAGCAACGGTGCTTCACTCTGACGGTGACTTTGGCCCCAATTTATAGTTTTCAACTCTTCCTAGATCAGCCTCATTTGATTATATTGAAGTCACAGCTCCAGAGGGCCCCAACTCCAAGTTTTTCTTTTTCTGTTATTTTGTCAGTGATAATAGCTTGTGACAGGTCTTGCACTGCTGGGCGAGCACTCCACCACCTGGTGCTGCTTACTAGTTTTGATATGTTTATTTCTCTCTGTTCAACTAGTTCCTGTGATTTTGGTCTCCTGGACTATGACTAATAAAGTGTTACTCGGAAGAGGGTTCTTGAGCAAACTCCCATCAAAGATAGACTTCGAAGTTGGGCTGATAATAATGTGGACACCTGGATGGTATTGGGATATTCTTCAGCTGCTTGCTAATGAGAAATGAGATCCCAGTAACCCATTTCCTGTAATGGGCTGTAATTAATCTAAATAGTGATGCCTTTGGTTGTTACTGATTAGAATAAAGTGGAGATATGAGACTTGTAATGGGGACATTTATATAGACATAAACAAAGCTTAGGATAATAATAATAATTATTATTATTATTGGCAGGTTTCAACCCTAAGATGGCCTAGAACTCAGTAGGTGGACCAGGCTTACTTGAACTTGGAATGATCCTCCTGCCTTTGCTTCCCTTTTGCGTCCTGGGATTACAGGAGTGAACCAGTTTAAAGCTGAGAACCGTGAGCTGCCTTTCTTTATGGATCCAGCCCGCCTTCCGTGAGTGAGGGAGCCAGTGTCCCTGTGGAGGCCTGTGGCGGGGCCGCTGGGGCGTGTGCTCTCCAGACGCGCCCACAGAAAAGGCTGTGCCCGTCCAGTCTCTGTCTGCACTGGACAAAAGCCCGACCTAGTGAGAAGCACCCATCTTACTTTGTGAGCTCGTGTCTACAGCAGCGCTTCTCAGCCTGTGGGTAGGGACCCTTTATGTATTTACAATTCATACAGTCGCAAATTACGTTTATGAGGTAGCAATGAAGATAATTTTATGGTTGGGGTCACCACAACATGAGGCACTGTGTTAAAGGGCCGAGGGATTTGGGAAGGTTGAGAACCACTGTCTAGAACTGTGCGCGCTGGTAGGAGACAGAGCTGGGATTCTTAAGATGGCAAGAGAAGGACAAGGGTACAAGATGAGATAAGTCGGTGAGAGTCTGTGCTCAGGGAGTTCCGGAGCCAGAAGGTCAGCACTTGCGCAGCAGTTTAAACTTGGTTCATTGAGTTTGAGACAGTTCAAGGTTCCTCATTTTTCACTGGCATCTAGGTTTTTCTTCTAAGTACAGCTTTCTCAGCATGGAACAAAGTGACATATGTTTTCACTTTAGCCAGTTTGTAATTTTAGATGTTTTGTAACCTGTAGCCCAGAATACAGCCTGTCTTTAGTAAACATTCTAGTGCACTTAGAGGGAGGTCCTCTCTGCTTGGTGATACTCTAACTGACCACCCGTCAAACAGGCTGATAGTGCTGTTCAAGTCCTTGCTCTCCAAACTAATCTTCTGTCTCTTGATGCTACCAACTATTGAGTTGGCTCAGAGCATTAAAATCTCTGTGTATTCTCTTCATTTTTAGAGTTGTGTCTCCTTTTTTTCCTTGCATTTTAAGTACTATCTATAGATAAATAAACATTTAGGATTATTGTGCCTGAATGATGTTAAATCCTTGCTCATTATGAAACAGCATTCCCTTTTCCTCTTAAAATAGCTGCCACTATGGTTAGCTTGATCATTCACTTTCTCTTCCCATCCATCTCTCTCCCTGGTTCCTTCCTTCCTCCCTCCCTCCCTTCCTTCCCTTCCTTCCCTTCCTTCCCTTCCTTCCCTTCCTTCCCTTCCCTCCCCTCCCTTCCCTCCCTTCCCTCCCTTCCCTCCCTCCCTCCCTCCCTCCCTCCCTCCCTTCCTTCCTTCCTTCCTCTTTTCAGGATTAAATTTAACATCTTAAGCATTTAGGCAAACTATCACTGAGCTACATCCCAGGACTCCAGGTTGTTTTTGGTTGGTATTAGCAAGACTCTCTTTTCCCATCCTCTACCTAAGATCTGTTTTTGTCTTGGTATTTTAAGTGGCTTTTTCATATGTCCCATACACCTAGGTATTGCATTTTTCTCCAGTCTGATAATCTTTGTCTTTTGTGAGGGAGTTTGAATCATTTGTATTTGATGTGATAATTGGGGTGGGTGGATCGAAGTCCACCATTTTACAGTTTGTTTTATTTGTCTGTATTCTTTCTTGCCCATCTGTCACTCTTCATGTGAATTAATGAATAACTGTAAGTAGCTATGGTGGCATATTAGCAACATCATTCAGGTTGCTTTGCTGATGTGTGTGTGCACCTGTGTGTTTTGCTGCAGTGTTTTATTGCCTACAGGCTCGGGTGGTAGGCAGACACCCTCCATTCCTAGCCCTTATACTGGGTGCTTTTTATTGTGGTGTCCTCACATCTACTCCTCTTAAATTCTTCACCGTGTAATTTGCTGGGAAGCCTGGCAAGCATATTCTTCATCCCGGACATTGCCTTTGTCAACTCTAAAAACTGATGTGAGTGCTGTCTGTGTCTCTGTATATAGTGTTCAATCTTATTAGCCTTTTTGAGCCCACGGAATATAGTCTTAGCAACTATGTAGTTATCCCCAATTAAAAGACAAAGATTACCTATCAGGTTGTATAAAAAGATAGGAAGAGTCTAGTACCTTTACAATTTTTGATGCATTTCTATAGATTCATTTATCTTCTCTTTATGGTTACTTTTTTCCATTTTTTTACATGCAGGTTAACTTTTTAAAACATAAACATTGGAAAACATGAATTTGCCTTAGAGATTGCTGAACCATTATTTTATACATTCTTATACATGTTCCTAAGCTTTGTCCTGGATTACAGTTAATCTCCTTGGAAACAGTTTAATCTTTTAGATGCTTACTTTTCCTCTTCCTTGGCTGGATCACAGCAGCCTTATCAAACTTTAGTAAAACTAGGTCCGTGATCCCAATTAACTATCTATTGTGTTTATTATGAAATTTTACTTTACTACTTAAATATTAGTGGAATGTTTTTTATTTGTTTTATTCTTTTTCTTACCTTCACTGTTTTACTATCTTATAACTGTCTGTTACCAGATTCTTCGATGTCCAACCCAGGACAAGGTATTGCAGTGACACTTCTATTGCCGATTGACACTGGCCCAAGGCTCACACACTCTTGGTGTGAGCCTTGCCCTAACCCTTGCATTGCATGCACAGCCTCTACTGGCCTTTGTGTAGACTTGGTTGCCACTATCTGCTCCAGGCGCAGAATCCATCAATCCATGCCAGTAGCCTTTCTCGGTGTATTTTCCCTAAAAGTAGTCGCCATTATACACAGCTAATAGCTCCTTTTCTCTAAAATTTTTATAAATTTCCAAACATTCAGGACACAGAAGAATTACATAGAGAACATACATTACCTTGGCTTAGATGCTGTCCTCAACATTCATTGCATCATATATCTGCCCATTCACTCCTTCTGTCCAACCATTTGTCCATCTTATCCAGGGTATACCTCAAAGTAAGTTGTTCTCTTCACCCCTACATGCTAGGGCATGGCTATCACCAGCTAAAGTTTCGTGTTTTGTTTCTAGTTCTCTTTTCTTTTGCCTGTTCAGGCTCGCTCTCTCGCTCTGTGTATGTGGTGGAGTGTGGTAGGATATGTGTGTGTGTGATGTGGGCTATGTGTTCCATAGTGTACATTGGAGGTCAAGGGCAGCCTTCTCAGGTGTCAGTCCTCCTCCTCCGTCTTGTGTGACACAGGGTCTCTTTGTTCCGCCGCATATGCCAGCCTCGTTGTCCCTGAAGCTTCTGGGGCTTCTCCTGTCTCTTCCTCCTGTTTGCTGTTGGAACACTGCGCTGACACACACTCCTAGCCAGCTTTATGTGGACTCCTGCCTGGTTTGTAACTGGACTAGATATTTTGTTTGGTTTATCTGCGGGCTTGTCTTGTGTCGATTGTCACAGTTCATGCTTTCGCATAGTTTATATGACCTTTATATTATGTGAATTAAAGGCTGTATTTCATTTTTTGCCTTTTTATTTTAAAAATTCTAAAAGATGCTTTGATATTTTAACAGTTCCTGGCCTTATAAATCATAACACATAGTCTCAATATTGAGTAAACATTTTTTTCATATCTTTTGAGGATTTAACTCTATAATGGCCATGTTGTTTATTCTAACCATAATTTACCTATAATCACTATGCTCTTGTATTGCTAGCCACAATATAAGGGAAAGATCTGCTTATTTTAGGAGCAGGCTGATTTATTCAGCCAAATGATACATCGCAGTTCTGTGAGACCTCGGACCTCCTGGAATTCTAGGTTGATTCCGCAAGATAATATAAATTCAGTGACTGAGCCTCTTTTCCTGGTCCTTATTTTAAAAGGAATGTAATGAAGCCTAACCTACTTTTTATGTGACATAAAGTTTCACATTTGTTTAAGTTATGTTTCCTTTTACCTTTCTTTAGGTTTGGTTGGGATGTTCCAGTAATTCTGAGAAATTCAGAAGAGACCCAGTTCAGCACAAGAGCTTTCAAGAAACAAATGAGACAAGTGAAGAACCCTTTTGGCTTAGAGATCACTGATTCGTCCTCAGCTTCTCTAGCAAGTTGGTGGCTATTTTCCAAAGCTTTGGTCCCATCTCCTGTCTCCTTGTTGTTAGCCCTTCTGTTTTTCTCTCTCTGTCACTTTCTCCTTGAACTTAACCATTCATTGAACTGAGAACTGCAGATGTGAAGATTAACGTGTTACGAATTTTCCTCTGCAAGAGTCTGTCCAGTAGTAAACAGACAGATGTGCACAGAGAAGAGAAGGAAGTATAGCATATGCCAGTGGGCCGTCTGTTAGGGTATTTTGCCTCATTCAGGGGTCTTCAGTGAGAAATGGCAACATGTCTAAAACACAGTGAGTTGAAGGTTGCTGACCTTCTTACGAGCAACTGATTTTTAATCTGAAATTATAATATTTTTCATATCATAAGTTACTTTTGATGTGGTAGTGACAGGTGGCAGGTTTGTTCCTGTGTTTGGAAAAGTGGATTGTTGGAAGGACTACTTAGGCGTTGTTGAGGTGAATTGTGAAGAAGGAAGCATTAAGTTTGCTGTAGTATGGACATTTAGGACTATGCTATGTCAACCCTGTCCCCTTCTACCCTGTTTCTAATGGCCTTGATTGAAGGATAAGCAGGTGTTTTTTTTTGGGGGGGGGGGGCGTTGAGGGAACTTCTAGGTGGAGGAACTGGGAACAGAGCCCCCAGGAATATGAGAAATACTGAAAAGTAAGAATCAAGAAGCCATGCATGGCTCAAATGGGGAGGGACGGCTGTGATGGTGTGTTATCTGTCAACTGGACAGACTCTAGGATTCCTTGGGAAGTTGGCCTCTGGCTGTGCTCCTGAGGGACTCTCTTGATTGTGACTGAGGGGAGAACAGCTGTGGACTGCATACCGAGAAAAACAAGAAGAAAGCTGCAAGGTACATTGATTGCTGTTCTGACTGTGGATGCAGTGTGAGCAGCTGCTTCAGGCCCCGGCCACCTTGACTTTCCACCATGAAGGGCTGTGCAGTCAGAACTGTGGCCAGAATAAGCCTTTCATCCCCAGAGTTGCTATTACCAGCACATTTTATCACAGCAACAGGAAAAGAAACCAGGACAGTAGGTAAGCGAGAAAGGTCCGGGAAGACTTGATCCTTGAATGGGTTTTCCGTAGCAGAGGTAAAATGGGAGCATTGGTGGATTTTGGAAGAAAAGAATTGAATCCAGTCTTATGTTTGTGGGCTTTGCCATGCTTTTGTGACTGTCAGTGCAGGTGGAGATTAAGTAGAATCTGGGGAGAGGCTCACCTTTGACTCCTCAAAGCCTTTTATAGCCTAGCAACAGATCTAATCTCCCTCAGCTCTTCACCTTACTCTTGCCACTACTTTTTCTTTCCTCAAAACTGTTAAGAACAAAAAACATCCCAGAGACTCATACTCTAACCAGGGACTATCCGTGGAGATAACCTAGAACCCTGACAATGCAGCCACTTCTGATGAGAACTGATAGACTAAGATCAGAAAGAAGGAGAGGAGGACCTCCCCTATCAGTGAACTTGGGGAGGGGCATGCATGCAGAAAGGGGGGGAGGGTGGGACCGGGAGGGGAGGAGGGAGGGGCTTATGGGGGGATACAAAATGAATAAAGCGTAATTAATAAAAGTTAAAAAAAAAAAAGAACAAAAACAAACAGACATAAAAACTGAACAAATTTGGGCAAAGGACATGGTTAAAATGCAAGTGTGAGGACCAGAGTTCAGAGTTCAGATCCCCACACAAACGGGGGGGGGCGGGGGGGCAGGGGCAAATATTTCAGGAGGTGCAGATGGGCTCCCCGAGCAAGTTGGCTACAAGACCAGCCATACCTGAGCTCTGCGCTGGAGCGGTCCTGCCTCAGAGGGAAGGTGGAAGGTGGTCAGGGCAGAGTCTCCTCATCACCCTTGGAAGCCGTTGGCAGGCACAGGCGCACACATGCTCGGCCCACACAGGGAAGTGGAGGAGACCACATTGTAAAAATCTGTGCTCTCCCTTCTCTCCTCCAAATGATGCAGCTGACTTCTTCCCACAGCCCTCTACTGACGTGCTGCTCCCCAAGTCCCTATTCCCACTTCTCATCCCACCTATGGCCTCTGGTAGACAGTCAGATCTGCTGGCAGCTTAGGCTGGTGCTCCTGTACTCACCTTCAGAGCGGCCTGGGCCTGCCTTCTTCACATCGCGCACTGGGGCTTCTGTGGGTCATTCTTAGCTCGGTACCCTGCCCATACTTCCAGAAGCTTACTACCTGACAAGAAACCAGTTCAGTTAGTCGCCATGAGTCATTGCCTACGTCAGTCTTTGTTTCTTTGATGGTGGCCTCACACTGTAGCTCAGGTTGGCCTGGAATTCAGAATACAGCCCAAGTTGGCCTCAGCAAGTAACTTTTTATTTACATATATTTTTTAAAGTACAAAATTCCTTATTCTTTCTCCTTATCTATAAATAACGCCACCCTGCAGATTGAAGAAATCTTTTTCCCCAAGAGTATGTGTTTGTTCTGACATATTTTCATTTTAGAAAAATAAATTTTAAGATAAGCCATAAAGAAACCACTCTTATTAAACGAAGGCAGTGACGGTTAAAACATACAATGATGGTTTAATGCCGTCCCACCTCCTTTAACACACACACATCCTTAGTGGCTTAAGATTCCAACATGCTGCAGTGTCTCAGCTGGTTCTTGGGTAAGGACTGCCAATAGAAAAATCAGCCATGTGTCCTCCTGCCATCCAGTCCCATAGCCTGGAAGTCCACTGAGAAACGAGAAGAGCCGATCGCACTGTGAGTAAAACACAGGCTCCTCTGGACATGAACTGAGGCAATTACCCTTACCAGAAGCAGAAGCAGTCACAAGCAGAGCTGACCCTGACCATGTCTGAGGCAAATGAAAAGTCCATGGAGTTCTCAGCTGTGCTCATGCACTGACGTTCTTCACTAACAGAAAAAGCAAATGCTGGTGTGGTGACTAAAGGAACTCACTGAAAAAAAAAAAAGTGGATAGCACTTCTTATTTGTTTCTGTGGAGAAAAAAGAAGGATTTTGGTGAAAATTAAAAGAACAAAGTTCATGGAAAGGTAGCTGTCCTTAATGCTATCTACTTGGGATGCTGGCATTGGGAGTGGATAAAAGGTTATTTTGTTTTGTGGGCAGATAGTTTAAATAATCAAGGATGTATTTTTCTCATGGCTGTATCCCACATTCCTGACAGATTGCAGAGGAGGGAGAGCAAACATCCAGGCCTGATGTGACTTGAGAACAAATAAGAGAACCGTTGATTTGTTTACAGGGACTGGTTGCTGGGATCTTGTTGTATAACTGTGTTGTGTTTGGGTTTTTGTTCAGTTCATGTTCCCAGAATGGAGGCTTTAATGAAACTCTAAGTTAGATGCTCTGTATATATTAGTTGAACTGGATTAATTTTCTTCAGAAAGCTGTTGTCACTTTGGAAGCAGCACCCCCCCCCCCCCCTTAACAGATCCAATAAGAGCTAACAAAAAACAGAAACTTAGGCAAAACACACTTAGCATTTGGAGAGCAGTTTGCCAACCTCTATTTCCTGCAACTGGATCTTTCCTCTCCAGGTGCCTGACTCATCCTCACACATGTCTCTGTGTCATCTTCTCACAGAAACAGGGTGGCTTTCCTGACCCTTATTGCTCTTTTAAAGGTCTCAGTGCACTGGATTCAGAGCCAGGGATGTCTCTGGCACTTTGTGTTACCAGCCTAGGGCAGCTATGTGGGACAGGGTGAGTTGAGAGAAGTCACGCCCACTTGACATTAAACTTTCTGATTTATAGCTGTGCCCCAGTTTTGTTAATGATATCAATGCAAAACAGTTCTCTGTATGCAGTGAAGTTTAGAAGAACAAGAACCCAGAAAAGGGGGGAAACTCCCTGCAAAAGAAATGGTGAAAATAAAGGGAGGATAGTTTTGCAAAGAGGTGTTTGAACTGTCTTCAGGTGGTTTCCATTAGTATATTATCACCTCAGTTTGTGCAATGGCCCAGTTTGGTGGAGAATTCTGCAGGTGCTGTGGCTCTTTCATTGGCTTCCAGCACAGTGGTTCTCAACCCTGTGGATCCAGACCTCTGGCAAACCTCACTCTCAAAAATACTTACTGTTATGATTCATAACAGTAGCACAATTGCGGTTATGAAGTAACAAGAAAAATTATTTTATGGGGGGTCACTACGACGTGCGGAACTGTAGTAAAGGGCCGCAGCCCCAGGGAGGCTGAGAGCCGCTGTAACCTAGTACCAGTTTCCATGGCGCACGAAAGTATGACCGCTTTTCAGTTGCCAGTGAATTACACCTAGTTGGAATCAAATAAATATTTGAAATAGGATTTTATTCCAGTAGCCTGTGCAGTGTCCCTGCTAGTCAAAGCTTGCACATGATTAATTATATGTGATCCTGGTTCACTGCTATCAGACACACCACCAGAGCAGAAGAGTAGGGACCATCTTGGTCACACTGTGAAGCCTGTGCTTGGATTTGTGTGTCTTCTCACAGCACTTTCTCTTGATCACATACATTTTAAAAGTAGGTAAGGAATCAATACAAGTCCTGTTACAGGCAGCAGAAAACTTCTGCACAGCCCGCGGAGGCCTGGGGAGTGCTGCTGGGCCTGGAGCCGGGGGCAGAGGCCAGGCCAGGCCACTGTGCCGGGAACAGTGACCCAGAGACAGCATTTAGGTCCAGTCAGACGCCCTGTCTCCGGGCACACACTGTGGCAGCTTCCCCTCCCAACAGTTGGAGACCCTAGGTGTCTCCTCTTGAACTCGGAATGCTTCAACTGCCACTAGTAAGGAGAAAAAAATGTTGATAGCACTTAAAGGACTACATACGCATAAATAGACATAAATTTTCTATGTCCACTAGGTATCCACTTATCAAGTCTACTGAAACTGTAACCTCCTTTCATTGAAAGCAAAGAGAAATGAGAATATTGCTGTTGAAGCCGCCGTGGCTGCTGTCCTCAGCAGCTCCTCGGACACTAACTGACGGGCGCTAACACTGTCACTGTGTATGCTAATACTAAAGCCCCGTCTCTTCTTAGCGCTTCTCTTACTTCAGTGATCACCATCTGGCCCCTGTGCTTTGTGTACACCCACTTTGGATGGCTCGGCTCTGCTGTGCTGACCCTTGTGATTTGAATTGCATATTGTTAGAAAGGGGTGGTTATAGTTACCAAAAAGGGGAACTGAACCAATCGTTTTGAAGGTAAATTATGACAATAAAATGTTGCTGGTATTGCTTCAATTGTGCATAGCAGTTGAGATTTTTGTATTTGTGGATATACATCTTTTGTAGATATACAACAACTTTTTAAAACTGCCTTCGTTGTGGCCAGCATCCAGAACAAAGCCAGTGCGTTTTCCTTGCCCCCGTTATTGTATTATCCGCAACGTGGGGTGACGCCATTCTCTTTCTGGTTTGTCTCCTGTAGCAGGCGTGACCTTGACGACAGACTGCCTCGAGGATAGCCACCTCACGTGCTACTGGGGGTGCAGTGTCCAGAGATTCCACGAGGCTCTTCAGAAGCACGCGCACTGCTTCAGGGTAAGCACTCCGAGAGCGCTGGAAGAGGCACTGTACAGCGACTATCTTCACCGAGAGCAGTATTTGTATCCTTTTTCCAGATACGCTCACTGGCACAGAAGACATGAGACTCTGGAGCCAGTAAAATGTTGCCAAGTTATTGACTTTTTAATACATTTTTTTTTCGTTCTTTTGGCAATTGGCCTTTACATATTCAAAAGTATCAAGAAGCACAGCAAAGAAGAACTATATTGCCAGTTACCGAGTGACACTGACATTGAAGACTTTGGCCCGGTGCCCAGACCTCGCTATCCATTGGTAGCTCTATTGACCCTCGCTGATGAGGATGACCGAGAAATTTATGACATTGTAAGTAATTGGAGCATCTGGAACGCCTTGCCTTTACAAGATTTGGGTGATTCTTAATTATTTTCGAAATAGGAAAAATTAATTTTCTGGTATCTGGTCTTGGACTCACATGTCTTGATAAATTATAACACGTATTATATCCCTGTTTAATTTTTATAACTATAACACACCTTCAGAGTATAATGGGTTTTTTTCCTCTTTTATAACAGCAACATGACTTTATTTAGAAAATAAAAGGTGGGTTATTGTTGAATTAAGTTAATGTCATCCTTCTGTGGTGAGTACTATTTACTTAGAGAAAATGTCCTTTGGGATGTATGGCTATTCTTCACAGTTTAATTACTGAATTGATCAGCATGATAATGACTTGAAATGATTGATTTTAAGACCAGGTCTGTTCTTCTTGGGCCATAGTTATAGTTACCTTGTTTTCATTGGAGTCCCTGCTGACCCTGTGTTTTCCACGTGGGATCCCCATATACAGTCATTTTATTTCTTCTTTCACATTGTGCACTGATTCTTTGGGCTGTTTGTTTTGGGGGGATTGCGACAGGACTCCAGCAGGCTGCCCTGGCTGGCCTGGACCTCAGAGACCCGCCTGCTGCTGCGTGCTGGGATCGCAGGCGTGGGACACCACTGCTCAGCTGGTGTTCCCTATTAAGAGCATAGACGTGCCTAAGTCTGTTGTTTTCAAGCCCTTTACAGGGGCTGCTTAAGACCATCTGAAGACACGCGTATCTACATTACTGTTCACAACTACCAAAATTACAGTTAGGAAGCCGCAACAGAGTAATGTGGTGGCTGGGCTCCCCACAGCATGTGGAACTGTAGTAAAGGCCACAGCACTAGGGAGGCTGAGAGCCGCTCAGTGGCCAGTGAGGGGAACTCACGGGTTAATTCCCAATATGGAAACTGGGAATCGTGAGCACTGACATTTGCCACCTGGGAAATTCTAAGCCGTCCTCATTGAGCAGTCACAGGCAAGTGTATGTGCACTAAACATGCTTTTGAAAATTACTGTCAGGCCATGTTTTTAAGATGCACTTACAGCACAAATGAATTCCCTGGTTAGACTTGGGGCTCATCTTTATCTCCAGGATAGCTCATTGTATGAATGGTAAAGTGGGAAAATGGGAAATTCACTGTTTTCATCACTTAAGATTCCATTTGGTGGCATATAAAGAGAGAGTCTTCTCTCTGGTTCCTGAGCCAGCTGGGATGGAGTCACTGTGGGCAGCTTACTGCCCTCAGGCTCAGCACTGCCCTCCCCAACCCTTTGTGAGAAAGCAGCCTGTCTGCCCTGTGTGCCATTCATGTGCATCGGGTGCTCTCTCTCCCTTCTCTGTTGCCTGCCTCTCAGATCTGGCTGCTGTGGCAGTGTGGAGCATCTTTGCATGTATGTCATTCATGCTCCGCGTTTATAATTGTAAAGACAAACTAGTTCATATTTGTTTTTCATGTGAGGTTTTCAGGGTTTTATCTGAGGCCTGTAAACAATAAATTAAAAACAAAAATGATCCCATTCCTGTTGTGACGGAACAGAATTATACCTGCCTAACAAGCAGTCAGCCGACAGTACTGAGGACTGAACCCAGAGTCTCGGCAGGCTACCCAAGTGTTCTACCACTGAGCCAGATTCCCAGCCCAAGAATTAATTCTGTGAAGTACAGTTAGGAGCTAGTTTGTTGTTTTAGTTGATGAAGGAGAGCAGGAGTTGTTATATAAGTTATATAAGAGAATATCTTTACCAGAAAATGCACACTGAATACCAGGAATAAACACCCAGAATTTTTACTTTATTACTTTATTTTTACTCTTACATTATCCACATAACATGTGTTTGTGGCAGAAAACAAGTGGAAAACTAGAAATCTTAGATAGGCGAAGAGGGAAAGAGTATTAGGGAGAGGGTCATCGCCTGTACTCTCATCCCAAGATAACAGCTATGAATACACACCTGTGTCTTGCAAGCCTGTTAGCACATTGATTTTAAAGAAAAGTATGGAACTGTGCACAAGCGTGGCTTGCCTTCTTTTAGTGGTATGCTCGAGCATCCTTGTCCTAGTTTACGAAGCTACCTATATTAATGTATATATGTCATGTAATAGCTGGCAAGGCTGCGCTGACTCAGACATCAGGGTTCTTCCAATGAGGCAGGAGTGTTTTTGCCCTCTTCCAGTTCTGTCTGATGTCAGTATTAAAACCTGTAAAAATGTTTTACAACATAGTATTTATGTAGTAGTCTTACAGCTTTTCTTTTGCACATAATTTTAAAAGGCTACAAAAATACAAAGTACAAGAACACGTGTGCACTTGACCCAGGCACCTAATGACATTTTCAAAACTGCATTATTATCTGCCTGTGTATGTAAATACGATGGTATCATCTACGCTTTTTAACTGAAAGATTTCACAGTTAACGTGGAGGGCATTGGCTGTTTATTCTTGTGTTCGGGGTGTATTTCCTGATGAAGAGCTGCTCTCGTTTAGCCACAATACCACTATTACTGTACATATTGAACATGGTGCCTTGCTCACCTGTGCTTATATTTCAGTTTTCCAGCTGGCAATGCTTCGGTGGCAGAAGCTGCTGCCGGGTGCTTCCAGGGGTCTGCAGAGAGGTTCTAGCTTAGGGCCTCCACCCACGGAAGCTGGGGTTTTGGCTCCTGCTGCATAAAAGAATTTCAAGACAAGTTAGTTTGAAGCAGATTGGGATTCATTAAGACAAGGTCAGAGAACGAGAGTTCATGCATTAGATTTAAGGAGGTTCAGAGTTCAGAGAGAAACATTAGTATTGTGAGAGTTGCTCACATGTGCTTTTGTGTTCCAGAGTTACATTACTGAACTGTGTAACGTATGGTGAGGTTTTAAAGGGTAGGCAGAATTTCCAGAATAAGTTTAAAAATTAAGCTAAAAGTGTGACATGGCTTGCCTGTTTATCTTAAAGAATTTTTCGGTGGGTGGAGATGTAAGGTTGTCTGTGAGGTGCATTGTCCAGGCTTGGGCTGGACAGAGGAGCGCAGAGAAAGCTGAGCTCCAAGGTTGTGGCTTGGTTATTTCTCAGCACCTCTAAGACTCCCCCCCCCCCCCAGATTCGGGGAAGTTGTTGACTTTGAGCCATCTGGAACTGTAAGCAAAAGCCTGGCTCCTTACTTCCCCCACGTCCTCTCCATTTTCTCTGTCTTGTCATACCTTGGGGTTTCTAGTCTCGAGTTAGGTCTTTAGCAGACGTGCCCACAGCCTTGCTTGTTTTTTATGACTGTCTTTACTTTTTATTGTTGTTTTTCTATTTGTTCTGTTTTGTTTTTTCAAGACAGGGTTTCTCTGTGTGGCCTTGGCTGTCCTGGAACTCACTCTGTAGACCAGGATGGCCTGGAACTCACCAAGATCAGCCTTGCCCTGCCTCCCAAGTGCTGGGATTAAAGGCATGCCACCACAGCCTGGTCTTGCTTGCTTTTTAGGACAGCATTTGTTAGAGCACTTCCACATACACACCTAAGCAGGGAAGTTTTCTTGCGGGGTCCTTTGAGAGTATGACTTCTGAAGCAGATAGTGCCCCTTGCTGGCATTGGTAATAGAAGTTTGGTCTCTTGATCAGTTGTTTTCCAGCTTCTTATGGGTTCCTCTCTCTTGCTTTCTAAGGAAGCACTGCACCTCTCCTGAGAGTTTGACCTCCACTTTCCTCTCCTCTCCCCTCTCCCTTCCTGTTGTGTCTTTCAGATATTTCTGTGGAGTGGGGCAGGTAATCAGACTGCAGGGTCCTGTGGCCTGATTCCTTCAGGACCATTGCAGATGCCCTACTGTTCCTTATGGATTGCCCCTGTATTCAATACCCCTTTATGATTCTCGCCAGATTTTATATTTACTATGTGATTGGAAAGTGACTGTCCCACTCTAGCGCTCTCCCTAGTCACTCCTCACCGTGCTCCCACAAGCCATAGCCTTCTTCCCCTTTACTTGAGTATCTGTTATCCCTGTGACCGCATGGGTTCCATTTTCTCTCCTCAGTAGTTTCTATTCGTTTTTGAATTTTAACTACTTTGGCACTCAGATTGCTGTCTCAGCACTTCCTACCGAGGCTGAGCATTTATAGTCAAATTGTGCTTGTAAATTACGTGCATTCATTCTCCTGAGATGAAGAAAGCTGTATAAGAAATCATCAGGTGATCTTCCATACTCCTTTTCCCCTCTCCCACATGCCTCAATCCCTTTTCAAGAGAACATGAAGAGTATGCTCATGTTCTCTTGTTTGCTGTGTTGTCCTCCCTTTTCTTACATGGAGGGAGGACACTGCAGGTGCCGTAACCTCTCTGTACTTTGCTTTGTTCATGTCACAGTGTCATGGAGAAATCACTTGCACATAGGTTCACAGAGATTGTCCTGATAGTGGTATTATTATTGTTGTTGTTTGTTTTCTGATAGCTGCATAGTATTTCATTTGGTTTGAACCAAAGTTATAATCCTGAACATTGAACTCCTAAAAGGCCAAAATCCAAAAATAGAAGTCTGGAGAACACAATTTTAAAACTTTAGTTAAAAGACATTTATTTGCATTTTTAAAAGGGAGTTTAGAACCTGCAAGATGGCTCAATAAAAGGTTGACACACAAGCCTGGTGACTAGAGTTCAATTACTAGAGCCCATGTAAAGATGGAAGAAGACAACAGACCCCACAAAGTAGTTCCCTGAAAATACAGCATGTACCCACATATTAATAATATTAGCAATAAAGCAAATTTATTTGAGAGATATAAAAACATGTTATGATGCTTGATAGGCTACTTTATAAAATAAAATAGACAATAATGTCTTCTAGGTTTTTACCAATATAAATGCTATAAGCCTTGCAGTTATGAGGAGACAAACTGTTCAAAAAAGGCCAAAAATCAAAATTTCTAAACATGGTTCACTGGGTCATAAATTTTTTTTAATGAAGTATTTTTTCTTTTTAAAGATTTGTTTATTCTTTATACAGCATTCTGCCTGCATGTGCGCCTGCACACCAGAAGAGGGCACCAGATCTCACTGTAGATGATCTTGAGCTACCGTGTGGCTGCTGGGAATTGAACTCAGGACCTTTGGAAGAACAACCAGTGTTCTTAACCCCTGAGCCATCTCTTCAGCCCTGGGTCGTAATTTGTACTCTCAACTTTACAGTGGTGGTAGAAATACCAAGACATGCCTCAGTCCTTTGATGAGATTGATCAAAAGTCATGACTACGATGAAATGCACTTGACCAGAGCTGAAATCTCAGGAAATTTCTTCTTTTACAAGTAGATACATAGGAAGGACCCCTCTTCATTTAATGAGAACATTTCAGTGTTTTATTTTGGGGTGTGTGTATGCCCACTGGTCGGCATTAGGTGACTTTCCTAGGTTCTTCACCTTGGTTTTTGAGACAGTCTCTCTCTAGACTTGGAACTTATCTGTTCCACTGGACCAGCTGGCTAACAGTCCCCCAAGGGTCCAGTTGTCTCCTCCTCTCCCTCCCCTCCAGTGCGGGGACTGCAGGAGCGCGCCTCTGCTGCCCAGCTTTTATGTGGGTTCTGGGAATCAAAATAAGGTCTTTGCTCTTGAATGGCAGCGCTTCACTGACTGAACCATTCCCCGGCCCCTTGTGCTTTTACCAAGTGTTCAGTGTTCACATACCAGTTCAATATTTTGGTAACAAACGTTTTCTCCAATCAAATTTGCAAAAAAAAAAACAAAACAAAAAAAACCCAAACCAAAAAATAACCCCACATAAAACAATTTAATACTATCCAGAATTCTTTACATAATTGATACTGCTATTAGAAGTGATGCAAAACTGAAACACATAAGACTCCTAATTATAAATTAATAATGCTGACAATTTGAAATAGCACAAAGAAAAAGCTTAAAAGAAAATTTAACCTAGAGACGGCATCATGGGACTTGATCGTGGGCAATGTGTGAAGACAGTCTAAAAAGGCTCCTGATTTCCACAGTCTTAACTCTATTTTTTATATTTATTTTATTTACATGTACATGTATCTGTGTACATTGTGTGTGCCAATGACGGTAGGTCAGTAGGCGGAGTCAGCTCCCTTTGGAGCTGGAGTTCTAAGCAGTGTGAGCCACCCATCACAACTGGGATAGAAGCTCTATCCCATGATTGTACAGCAAGTCCTCTTGACCACTGAGCCGTCTCTCCATCCCCAGGTAACTGTATTCCAAAGTCAGGTGTGATGGCTGTCCTCAGAGAATATGCTCATGTTCTATGCAGCATGTCCCTTTTTGAAATTCTTCTGTGATTTCATACATATATTATACAGTCCCATCTTCTATGCTGTGCATTTATGGAGTTCTGGGTTGCACAGACTCCATGGCAGACACATCTGGTGAAAGTGAAGCGGGTCATGGGGTAGCTGCACTGTCGCTTGTCTCCTCCCACTGAGCCTGCAGCGGTTTTCAGAGCAGTGCATCACTCCTGCCGTGGTGAGTGTGCCTTTGATTCATTAAAGTTCCCGGAATGTCAGCACCTGGAAGGAGGGCCGAGCAGACAGTGCTGTTGCTAACCTGAAATTTGCATCCTCTCTGTATCGCTGGCAAATGCACCAGATGAGTGGAAAACAAAAGACTTTGCACTTCCCTCTCAGAAGCTTGAGCATATCTTGTTCCAGATGTCATTATTTGTGGCAACTCGGTTGAGTTCCGTTTCATTCTGTAAAGGCCACCACATCTTCCAGTAAGCTTCATGGAACACTTTGCTTTTTCCAGGCAGTAATACATGAATGGGTAAGTTTCCAAAATCGCTGATGGTTCATGAGCATGAGTAGCGCATAGTTAATAAACCAAATGGAACAGTGGGCACCACTTTGAAGGTGCCATTGTTAATCAAAGTGAGACCCTCACTAGTTTCCTATGCTCAGCTTTGCAGTTAATTTCAAATTTCTAGCTAAAACTAGTTTACCCTTTACTGCTCTGTGGCGCTGGAGAGCTCTCCATGTGAGCAGGTGTCCTTGGTGCCAGAAGATCCCTAAGCCTTCCATTCCATGGTGGGAGGCCGAGCTCAGTGTCTGGCGGGGCAGGAGCGCAGGGCAGGAGCGCGGGACATTCTCAACAGCGTGGCAGCTGCCCTGGGTACAAGTGAGAGCATATTAGCCGACCCTGAGGTTTGTCTCTCTACCCTCTCACACAGCCTTTCGCCCAGCACTGGAAATTGTGCTTTCCAAAACTCTAGCATTCAGGGTTCTTACACTTTGGTACTATGATTCGTAAGTCTCCATCTCTTGGAGCGTTAGCTTTTAGGCGCTTTGAGTTTCCAGAATGTCAGCAATTGGCGGCCTTGTGGATTCCGGCTGGCATTTCACACATTGTATGTGGTGAGAATGTGTGCGTCTGCCTGCGTGCACCGGGGTTCCTTACTCCTGTGCTTGGATAGTAGGGGTTCCCAGTCTAAATGTCTGTTACTGAATACCTGTGCAAGAGTGGTTCATTGCGGGCTGAGCTGATGTGTCCATGCATGCTCTTCTGTTACATAGTGCCAACTCCCTTCATTGAGTTCTCCCCACTCCTCTTTCCCGTGGAGAGTCTCTCTATGGAGGGCAGGCTTTTCCATGCATGTCAGTTCAGTGCCTGAGCAACCCTGAAGCTTGTCCTTTGTTTATCTGGTAGTGGGTGGGGCGGCAGGGACTTTCTCCTTCACTTACGCTCATGTCGTGTGTGTGAGTGACATGCGGAGGCCCGAGGTGAGCATCAGATGTCTTCTCAGTTGCTCTCCGTCTCTATGGTTGTTTGTTTGTTTGAGGCAGGAGTGTTTCACTGGCTGGCTACACTAGCCAGGGAGCTCCCAGGCTTTGCTTGTCTCTGCTGCCCAAGCACTGATGCTACAGATGTGCTGTATGAGGCAGGCATTCAGTTTATGTTTTTCCAAATTGTTTTCCAGCTGTCCCCAAACTATGTGTTTAAAGAAAAACAAAACCTAAAACCATCTATGTATCTAGTCCTTCGTTGCATTCTCACACATAACGTTTTTTCTAGACTGTTTCTGTCTCATCCATGCATCTACTTATGAGTCAGTACCATACAATTTAATATTTGATGAATTTAGACTGCCTTTGAGCTTTTGAGTGCTTTTCTATCTATCCTTAAATGTTCCTTTTTCTGTGTATTTTAGAATCAGTGTTTGCAGCTCTGGAACAAAGCACATTGATTTTTTTTTTTGTTTCAAGACAGTTTCTCTGTGTAGCCAGGCTGTCCTGGACTCTGTAGACCAGGCTGCCCTTGACCCCACAGAGATCTGCCTGCCTCTGCCTCCCCAAGTGCTGGGATTACAGATGTGTGCCACCATGCTGGCTTGCACACTAATATTTTTATTGACACCACAATGAATTTGTAAATTTTGGTATAATTAAAATGTGTCAGAAATATGTCCATAACTGGTTCCTTTTCAGTGCTGTGATTTATACAAATTAATGTAAATGTTCTAATATATCTCTTATTTGAGAAGTGTCTTTTCACTTACCTGTGAAGGAGTGTTAAGTCCTGACTCATGTCCAATTTTTATTGTAGATTTCCATGGTCTCAGTAATTCATATTCCTGATAAGACTTACAAACTTCCCTGCAGAATATTGTATCAATATTTAATCCTGGCTCAAGGTCAATTTTATGATCTTAAGGTAAGTCATACCATGTAATATTTGTTGTTTATAAAGGTTAAGGAATGGCTGCTTTTAAAGAGAATTAAGGTTTTTAGTCAGGTATAGAAGTTACCCGCTCTTGCCTGTTGGATCTGCTAGCTCAGATGTTCGTAGCTTTTGTGAAACTCTGGTTGGGAGAGTGACTATTGTTTACAATTGTCTTTACACTGGTTACTTTGATTTTTCAGCAACTTTTCATGTCTGCAAATAATGGTCCCACTCCCTCCAGCAACCCCTCTCCAGCAGACACAAGTGCAGAGCAGAGCTTGTTGGAGAAGGCAGGCCTGGCTGGGACAGAGGTGGGGCCGGTGGAGGAGAGCAGCAAGGACTGTGTGGTGTGCCAGAACGGGGCCGTGAACTGGGTGCTCCTACCTTGCCGGCACGCGTGTCTGTGTGACAGCTGTGTGTGCTACTTCAAGCAGTGTCCCATGTGCCGGCAGTTTGTGCAGGAATCCTTTGCACTTTGCAGTCAGAAGGAGCCAGACAAGGATGTGCTGGAAGCTTCCTGAAGGTCTCACAGCTGGAGTCTGCACTTCCCACACAAGGTGCAGAACCCTGTGTCCTTAGAGTCAATCCTAACACAGAAGCTGCAGTCCTGACTGTCGGAGAGAATTCTATTTTCACTTCGTACTTGTATGATACATGAATGATGGAAATAAATTCTTCCTGCCCAGTATGGCGAGCACTGGAATACTGTCTTTGTTGCTACCTAAAACTCAACTCTGCTCTTGAGAAGAATGTAAACATTTGGCTTTTTACCAGCTAGAAGATTTCATATACTATGGATGAGAAAAGTCACTCTGAAAATCAGTCCACTGAAAATTCCAAGAGGTACAAGTTTCAGGATGGCTGACTGCATTTCCGTTTAATGTAATCTGGAGTGAAATTAGAAGACTGAATTCTTCTTAAAATAATTACATGTGCCCTAGTTTACAAAATAGCTGGAAGGGACTTTTTACTTTCCAGCATCTCTGAAATATGTTTTATAAATATCCATTTGACTTCAAATTTTCCTTATCAGAGTTATATAAATACACCTTTTAACTTCCCATATACGTTTAAGTGCATAAACATAAGCCACAGTTCTGACTGTTCCCATGAGTCACAGATTAGATGGCGTTTGTTCATCTACAGGAGGCAGATCCATAACACCTGGATAATAAGAGCTCATGGATAATTATATACGTATGGACTTCATTGTTAGATGTGATTAGATTAGCAAAATGTGCTCCACTCAGGAAGGTCAGTGGCTCCCCACTGCCATGCCTTACGCTGCTTCCTCTGCAGCAAATCTACCCAGAGGCTGGGGCCTGGAGGGACAGAGCTAGGAGAAAACAAACACTAGAAGGAACAAGTAACTTTTCTTTCTTTTCCTACCATCTTTATCCCAAACGAGCCCAGAATCCCATATTACTCAGCATACCTTGAAAGTGTCGAACTTGATGGACACCACAGTGCTGCCCTGCTCCCTTCCACCCGTCCACTCTTTCTAAGGTGGGAGCTGAGAACAGAAGGGAAAACCAGAGCTTCCCATGCTGCCATCAGAATTGCCATCAGCTCCCCAGGAAAGTGGGTCACAGCAAATAAGCGAGGCCTTCAGGGGGTGCTAAGGCCTCTTCTGTAATGTTTGTATGACAAAAGTGGTGCCTTTGTTTCCGCTTTAATACCATTTCCTTCCATCCAGATACAGCATTTGCAAGGAAAATCTGTCCTCCATTTTGTAAACAATTCACACTTTTCTCAGCATCCAATAGCCATGTAATGAACACTTTCTAGAGTTGGGCATGGTAGTTAGTGCACACCTTTAATTCCAGCTCTTGGGAGGCAGAGGTAGGTGGGTCTCTGTGCATTCCTGTTCATTCTGGTATACATAATGAATTCCAGGCCAGCCAGAGCTATCGTGAGATCCTGTCTCAAAACAAATACAAAAACAGCATACCTTTTGAGCCTGGGCTGCAAGGGAACAGGCAAAGCTACTGACCTCAATATTGTGTGCCCAAAAGGGGCATGGATGGTAGCTAGATGCAGTCCCCATGCCCAGAAGAAGCTCTGAGCCTGTCAGTGGACCAGGATTGTCCAGAGGTCAGTCCGATAGTGGTGATGCCTGAATGTTCACGTTACCCGTCATCTGGAAGAGCTCTCAGTGCCTCCATCCTAGCCTGGTGTCCTTACATGTCTCCGTACCCAGGCCGTCCTAGATGCAACTGCCTTTTGAGGAAGCAGTCTGAGTAGCTGTAACTATATTAGTAATGTTATCCTGTTTTCATAGTTTTTCAAAGGAAAATATGTGCTACACAGAACTATTTTAAGAATTTTTAAATGTAAATTCAGTGGCAGTCAGTCTATTTGTACTGTTGTGTAACCACGAACGCTGTCCATGTCCAGAACTCTCTATCCCAAGCTGTAATTCTCTGTCTGCATAGCACCAGCCCCTCTTCCCCACCCTGAGCCTCCGAGAGCCACTGTTTACTGTCACAGCCGCAGACTGAACTCGGTGTTGTCAAGGTTTATCCATGCTGCAGTTCACATTACACCTTGTAGTCCTTCTAAGACTAGAATCATAATCCCATCCTGATACCCACTTTCTGCCTGTTTTCAGTGATTGTTAAAGATCGTTTGCATGGGTTGCCCTTGCTGCAGCTAAAGCAGTTGTCCTGCCCTCGGTGGTAAGTGCTATGAAGAACTTGGCGAGGCGATCAAGTAAAACGGTACACATGGCCCCACCACTACTGCTGGGCTTGTTTGGTTGGTTAGTTTTTTGTTGTTTGTTTTGTTTCCTTTGAGGCAGGGTCTCTCTGTGTGGCCTGGCTGGCGTGAAACTCGGTGTGTAGACTATGATGGCCTCAGACTCACCGAGATCTGCCAGCCTGTGGAGTGCTGGGATTACAGGTGTGCATCACAAAGTCCAGTGACGACTTTTTATAATGCTGCTGCTGGAAAGTTTGACCTTACAGTGTTAAAACGGTGACGTATGTTCGATAGAAGCCTTACTTCAAAGGTTAGATTGTCTACCTACTTTTCTGTTAGCGACCCCGCAACCTGACCCATGAAGGCTCACTGCACCTGCAGGAAGCCCCACTCTCAGCTAGCTACAGGATCGCTAGAGCAGACAGCTCTTTTGTTTAACAAGATGGGATTCCTCATAAGGAGCCCTGTGGGTGGTAGCCTTGTATTGTTACCTATTCTCCATAACTTCCTTGTAGTAAAATATATGTTACATAAAGTTCACTATTTTAAGCATTTTAAATGTAAAATTCAGTGGCATTAAGTTTATTTATGGACTCCTAGAGGCTTGTGTCAGAATCTACCATGAACAGTGGCACCATGTGAAAACATCTGTAAAAGCATTTGGTCTGAGTGCATTATTGGAAAGGGAAGACATTTGGTTCTATGATTCTATAAAAACCCCAGCCTAGGCCTGAGTGCAGGCAAGCTTCACAGATAGCCACTGTCTCTCTCAGTGATTCTGTTTCTCTCAATCTGGTGCCTATTGAGACTTCTTAATGTCTAAGCAAACTCTAAGGAAGGACTGTCACTGTCTCCTAAGCACTACACACAATCTCTGAATTCTCCCTCCTGGGCTTGGCCTGTTTTGTTAATGCCTTTTATTAGTTTGTGAATGAGGAGCCTTGTTGAAGCTTGTCCTTGAAGCTGGGCAAGGTGGAAGGAAATTAAGTCAAATCTCCTGCTTTTGCAGGTTGGGCCCTTCCATTTTCCAGTTCCTGAACACTGCATTCCCTTCGTTCAAATGTATTTTTTATATTTTGTTTTTCTGACCTCTTCACATTTCCTGTCTTCCAATCCACAAACGTGGCTAAACTCAACTGTACTTGGTGTGTGTGTGCGCGCGCCCACATGCATGTGTGTGAACCAGGGTTTTACTGTGTGTCGCTGCCTTTCCCAGCCTCGCAGCAACCCTCCGCCTTTGCTCCCAGAGAGCTGTAGGTGTGCGCTCCTGTGCTTGGCTTCAGCTGTGTTTTACATTGGACGGTCAGGGGCCCGACCAGTTGCTGGAGCCCACTGTGAGGCCACCTTCTGAGCTGTATCTGGACCCTCGGCACTACTCAACAAGTCCTTACCAAATTCTCATCGCCTCCCAAACCTGCCCTGCTCTTCTCCGCAGCCGTGTCCCACAGCTCCCAACACTTCCAACAAAGAACCTACCCCAACTCAGCTGTGTTACGGTTTGGGCCCGGTTCTGCTGTTACTCCTGTATAAAATGATACTAGATCTCCCCACGGACTGCTGAGAGCTTGTGCCTGTTAGCAGGTGTGACCTGTAGGCCCAGGCCTACTGCAGAGCTAGCTCTGTGTGGGTGGCTTTCCTGGAGTTGTTTTGCTTTGTCGAAGCTTGTCAACATCCTCTTCTCTCTTCCCCCAGACAAGGGGGTGTTCTCCTTGCACTCTTGATCTCATCTGTGCTCACTGCTGAAGTGTCAGAGACACAGAGACGCTCTGCCTTGTTGAGACATTGACAGTGTAAGCGAAGAGTATAGCAGATGGAAGGCCTGCCTCTCTGCCATAGCCGGTGCTCTAGTAGAGGGAGGCTGCGGTGAACCAGATGGAGGCACCACTGTGGAGAACATGAACGTGGACATGTGTGGGTAGGCCAGTGGAGGTGGGGTCAAATGTCAAACCCACGTGAGGAATGTCTCTGTGGGCCTTTCAGAAGGTACCGGAGAGTGGCTTGAGCCATGTGATAATGTAGGTAAGAGGGCATAGTGGGTAGTAGGCTAAGAGCTGCAGATAAGTGAGATGGAGACAACTGGAAAAAGAGCAGCTTTGGAGGGAAAGAATATGGGTTCTGTTGTATTAGATGTCAATTGTAAATCTAAGTGGAGATGTCAAATAAACAGGTAAATATGCCTCCAGCTCTATAGAGTGCAGAGGAGTGTTCCATCTGTTTTTGTTGTTGTTTTTAGTTTTTTGAGACAGGGTTTCTCTGTGTAGCCTGGCTGTCCTGGACTCACTTTATAGAACAGGTTGGCCTTGAACTCACAGAGGTCACCTGCCTCTGCCTTCGTAGTAATAAAGGTGGTGCCACCACAGCCGTCAGAGTGGTCCATCAGATGACAGAACACTAGGGCTATTAGTATGGTGTGGAAGCCAAACAACTGGAGAGGCCAGCGGTGATTTAGAGGCTCAGGGGCCTGTGATGACTCTGACACTGAACTAGAAAGTGTGGCCTCTCCATACAGCTTGGGCTTTGTCACACATGGTGGCTTCAGGGAAATGAGAGCTCTAAACTGGCATCCAGGGCTCAACAAATCTTCACAGTGATTGTGCCCAAAATTGTATGACCATTCCTGTTTTGTTCACTAAAAACGTATGGAGATCTGAGCACGCGTACACACACACACACACACACACACACACACACACACACACACACAATCATCTATCTATGTAAATATAATAGTAGCTTTCGCATGCTCATAATGTATACCCATTTACCATCAATTCCAGAACATTTTTCATTACTCCATAAAGAAGCCATGTGTTTGTCAGGTCAATTCCAGTTCCCCCATCTTGTCCTTGACAAGGACTAATCTGCCTTCTGCCCTTATACATTAGCCGAGTCCAGTCATTTCATGCATGGAATCGCATGCAGGAGCAAATGAAATGGCAGCATTTGTGGCCTTTTGTGACTGGGGCCTATTTTACTTACCACAGTGGC